GTCACTCAATCTGACAAAATCAAATTACAGCACATTGGCATTTCATTAGAAGACTTTGAAGAATTTGATTACATGGAAGTGAAACTTGGATGACTGAGAATCTCCACAGACATTTAGCTACGCACTTTGAGATGAACATCCTTCGAATGGTGCAGGAGTACGAACGGATTTCCAGAAAACATTGCAGACTGCAGGAACCATTTGCGCTTCTGTTTGAGATGCAGACAACACAGACTCATCCCCAACAGCCTGTGTGCCTGTCCTCAACAGTGAAGGGACATAGGGCAGAAAACATCATGCAGCCAAGAAGAGTCCACACACCTTTGCACTACTCAGGGGACCCTGAGGACACAGATAAACTTCCAAGGGGCCTTAATGACTCTCTAAGAAGGCAAATGACCAGCTGTCTGCAAGGAATATAAATCCTGCCATTCCCCACCATCCAGTCAGAGCTGAAGAAGCTTCTTGGATGAGAAGCGAAACGCCTTCAAAGAAAAACAAGAAAGTCCAGTTGCCTCCTGAAAAAGCCCCTTTGGGACAACCTGACCTAGATGACTGAGAATCTCCATAGACATGGAAATGAAACATTATAATCTCTGGTGAATCATGTCTAATCACACACCAGAATGGCAGCATTTTGTAATTAAATATTGTCCAGAACTATCTCTAAAAAAAAAATGGGAGTATGACTAAAATCATTAAGCAGGATTAAGGGATATGGCGCAGCTCAAACATGGGTGCAATTAAGCTCTTGTATTTACCTCAGGGCTCCTTTTTTTGCAATTAGATACCTGGCAATTTTGCAACAGGTAAGAATAAGGAATGAAAAAAAAGGAGGCAAAGTGTACAGACATAGAGGGAGGGCAACATAATTTTGCTGAGACATTTGCCTAGATTGGAGCCACAAAATGAGAAGAAGGACGATTAGCTGAGGAAATGCAATGCTGCCTTGTTTCACACTTCATGCCAACATCCTGTCTTTGAGAACTATATTAATGTTTTACTATTCTTCTTCTCCCTGTTAACTATTTTGTCACAAACATAATATATAGAAGAAAGGCAATAACTTGAAAATAGATTTATTAGTTTAAAAATGGGGGGGGGAACAGTTTCACAAGGGGTGGGAATCAATGTCGTAATAATGTATTAATCACTATTCAACAAGGGCAGGGCTGGGGAACCTTGGCCCTTTTAGGACTTGTGGACTTCAACTCCCAGAAGCCGGCTTAGGAATTCTGGGAGTGGAAGTCCACAAGTCATAAAAGGGCCAAGGTTCCCCACCCCTGAACCAGGAGGATAATATGTGAATATTTGTTGAGTGTTTTTTTTTTGATGCCATTTTTCTTTTTTAATGTCTTCATTGTTTGTATTCCCTTTCTTTTTTATCCTTTTTTTGGAGTTTTCTATTTTAACCTTGTCTTGAATAAAATAAAAATAGACACACACAGAGACAAAAGAGAACTATATTAATTCTTATTTGTTTCTCAGGAAACCCCGTGAGTTAACATTAGCAACTCTGAGCCAAGCTACCTGTGAGGTTGTGTCACTTAACCAACAAGGTGAATCATAAGCAGATACATACCTTCCATTTGGAGACTGTTTTACATTTACAAAAGTGTATGTGTGTGCACCTTTGAGTCAGTTTTTGATCCTGCCAACTGCCTGGACTAGTCCTTGCAGTTTTCTTAACAAGGTTTTCCTGAAATGAAAATTGCTGTGCTTTCTTTCCAGAGCGGAGAGAATGACTGGCTGAAGGCCACCCAGTTGGCTTCATAGCTAAAGCAGGACTAGATCTCTCAGTCTCCCAGTTTCTAACCAGGTGCCTTAACCACTATACCAAACTGGCTCTCTTTAAATATATAAAAATGATTTATTGTTATTTCTTGTACTGTCTGCCAACTCTAACCGGTCCTTTTAAAACAAAAAAGCCCCTTAATTTGTCTTAGTCAGTCAAGCAGCTTCATTAGAACAAGTTCTTATTACTTGCCTTGCCCCATCCTTGTCACAGCCATTAAATTATTTGTATCTCTGGTAAAAACTGAGGGGAAAAATGACTCCATCATATCAAGCTCAATTGCTATAACTTCAAGGACACATCAATGTAGTCTTATTAGTTCTTATTAGTACTTACTACATAAGCCTTATGTAGTTTCATATTCTTAGCAGCAATATGGAAGTTTTCCATTGCTTCTTCTGGGATTCTTTGATTTCCTGATCTTGCTACAGTCCTAGCACTCATTCAAACTCTCCCATCCAAGTACTCACCATATCCAACCCTGCTTAGCTTCTGAGCCCAAACAATGTAAGGAACGGACCAACATTAGTATGGTATCCCAAAACTGTCCTTCAGTACAAAAGCCACTTATTTCTTCTCATCTAGGTATGCAGCTCAGGTGGCTTTCAGTTCGGCATGAAATTCAACCGGTAATTTATCTTTAACTGCTCCATCTCAATAAATGTAAGTGATTACATACCAGTAACACATTAAATCAGTTCTGATAATTATCTCTAATTACTGACACCAAACTAAATCATTTCTAAAACTAAATATTTACATTCTACTCCATTAAAATACCACTTCTTTTCCTGAATAGTTTCATTATTTTATTTGCCCAGAGAAATTATTTTGCCATATAACTCAAAGCAAACATTTGCCTCTTGTAAAGGAAGGTTTAAAGACCCAAATATAATTTTGCAAGAAGTGATCATAATTAATACATAGGTCTATATAAAAACAAACATATAAATAACATTCTAGGTTGAGTTTGAAGGTGAGAGAGGACTCATTAGAAAAGACCCTGACATTGGGAAAGATTGAAGGCAAAAGGAGAAGGGGACAGTGGAGGATGAGATGGTTAGATAAGTTTCATCAACACAATGAACATAAATTTGGGCAAACTCCAGAAGATCGTGGAGGACAGGTGAGCTTGGTATGCTATGATCCATGGGGTTGCAAAGATTTGGACATGACTTAGCAACTAAACAACAACAACAACAAATTCAACAGATGTCTACATAAATAGTTAATGGCATGAGGCTACATCAAAATGAATGACACCATAATTACCTATCATTCAGCATTGATTATTCCTAACTGAGAACTGCTCTTCAAGTTCTCCTCCAATCTTTCTGTGTAGGATCCTAAAATCCAAGCTATTCAAAACAAGCCTTCCATCACTGAGTTACTTGTTCACTGTTTGAATGAACCAAGTGCCAAAACACGAAATCTTGCAAAAGTCTACCTGAAAGCATTCTATTTTAGAAGAACTGGGGGGGGGGGAAGGCATCAAGTTAAATTCTTTCAACATTTCTCTTTGCTTTTTATTAAACAAAGAGTAAAGACTGTGCCAGAAAATATCAAAACACGAGCAACAACCCTATTTGTATATGGCACAAATAAAATCCCTGAGAGATTTTTCATCACTGCCCACTGCTCAACCTTCTTCAGATTCCGCAGGATTGTAAACAAGGAATGTCACGGAAAAACACCATTACAGAGCAGCAAAGAAAAGGAACAAATACTTCATAAGAACAGCATTAAAATAGCTCAAAGAAAAAGATTCTTGTTTTATTATGAAAGGAGTAAAGGAATTCTAACCTCACTGATTTTTTTTGAACAAGGACGGAGAAGAACCAATGGAAATCAAGAGGTTTGGTTTAGTGGCTAAAGTAATGGCTTAGAAACCAGGAGACTGGAATTCTAGTTTACCTTAACAATGAAAGATGGCTGGGTGACTTTGGACTAGACCAGGGGTAGGCAACCTTGGCTCTTTTATGACTCGTGGACTTCAACTCCCAGAATTCCTGAGCCAGCGTGGCTCAGCTTGGAAACCTCTCCCTTTTCCCTCAGCATAGCTGGCTCAGGAATTCTGGGAGTTGAAATCCATGAGTCATAAAAGAGCCAAAGTTGCTTACCCCTGGACTAGACACTCTCTCTCATCCCAATCCACCTCACATGATTGTTGTTGTGGAGAAAATAGGAGGAGAAAAGAGTATTAAATGTGTTTGCTGCCATGAGTTACTTATAAAAGTAATAAAGGTGGGATAAAAATCAAATAAATAAGTAGCCATTATTTTTTCTAACAGCATCCTGATAATATAAATATTGCTGTTCTTTACATCAGAATACAGGATTTATTGTTTCTATATCTTACAACTGCATTCATACAAAGTCAAAATGGATTTTGCTTGACTTATAAAATAAATATAGTGCCAAAACAAGAGCATGTGTTAATGCATAATCACAGGAGAAGAAACCAATGTATAAATCACAGCAGTTCATTCATAAAAACAGATTCAAACAAATACAGCGCCTAAATTACCCTACTATATAATGTGTCCTTACAGCACAAGTTTAGCCATTTTAAGCCTGATCCAAAGGATAAGGAAAGGGATATGTTGAATATGAATCCTATAAAATATAAGCCATTCATAGTTGTTTCGGGTTCAGATACCCTTGAAATGAAATAATATAATATTTTATAAAACAATGAGATGTTTTAAAATATAAAATATTTTTTAAAATCCTATTTTCCTCTCTGAAGTGCTTGCCTTTTGAACATTCAAACATTTTTGACATGCCACATGGCTGCTAGACACACAAAGAGATCAACCAGGCCAGTATCTAAGTAGCTGTCACCCCATCAAGTAGATCAGAATAAGAAACCAATGCTATATAAGTGACAGGCCTGTTTTTATTGTAACAGTTATAATAACAGACTCTTGTAAGCCTGGATGTGCTTCTCTCCTCCCTCCCTTTATCTTGGTTTGAACTAGGGAAGGGCTTGTCTGAGAGTCTTTTTTTCATTTCTTAGAATGTGCAGTTGTCTGATCATTGCCTTAGTGGTGATTTTCAAGGCTATTCCCTATGCCCTTTACACTAATGTACTATTTTGTACATAATCTAGCTATGCTTCTCTGGGGTCCCTACCATAGGTCTGCCTTATAACTGAAGATTCTCTCAGCGAGGGAGAAAAAATCAGAACCTGGAAAGAGCTTACCAAAAACAGTTTGGTCCAAAAACAGTAGCAAGGTTGGAAACAGTCATCTTGTTCTCAGTGTGATGATCAGCAACCCGTTTCAGGAAGTGGCAAAGATACTTAAGGAGACAATAGTGAGTCTCAGGCATCTGCCTCAGAAGGTCTCTTAAATCGCTAGTCTCCAGGCCACACTTCTGGCTGGCTGTAAAGAGAGAAAGAAAACATGATATACCTATTCTGTGGTACGTATCAAACAAAAGTAGCAGAAATGAACTGTACTGATTTTTTTTTAAAAAAGAGAATGGATAGTAATGTGAAGATTATCATCAAAGCAAGTTCCTTAACTAAACTATGAATTTATCTTTCTGTTTTGCTCCAACTGCAATTGTCAACTTTGAAAATGAGCGTGGCTGCAGCCATTTTCCCTACTCATTTTTGGTTGACACATAGCATGGAGGGAGGGGAGTTTAACCAGGTGCTTCGTTAGACTAAACAGATTTTCTCCCATGGGAACCAAGGTCATTGGCTGCTCCCCGGACCGCAGGCTGGGCGTTTCGTGAAAAGCCCACCAAGAAGATGTATTGGGGAATGTAGTAGCTTGCATACCTTTAGGGGTGGGATTTCTTAACTTTGTATTGGGGATTGTTACGTGTCTATTCAGACTTGGTTTCACTTTTGACGTGCTGATATTTTGTATCAATAAACATGTTCTTTGAGGAACCTGCAAGCCTCGGAGTTCTGCTTTATTTGTCTCTGTCTGTCGGAACCATGATAGCAATTTGATCTGACACTTGTTCCTGCTTAGCATTTTGTCCCTAAACCAAGGCCTGCAAATCTTCTTCAAACCATGACTATGCAGTATGGGCTAACTGTAACTGGCCAGGTCAAATGTCCTGCTAAACGAGGGCTAGAAAAACACATATCCAAAACAGAGGAAGGAGGAAAAGTTCAAGTTTATAGAAAGTTCCTCAGCTGGGGAAGTTGAGAATGAAAGTGGGAATTGGTTGATTGCTCTGCAGCTGGGGTGTCCAACCTTGGCAAATGTTAAGACCTGTGGACTTCAACTCCCAGAATTCCCCTGCCAGCATGGCAGCTGAAGTTCACAGCTTAGAATGTTACCAAGGTTGGAGACCTAGGTCTACAGAATACTAAAACCTTTTTAGGAGAAGACCTAACAGTACTGCAAACCTATCCAGGTTTTTGTAGCAGACTGTTGTAAAACAGGATAATGCATTATTAAATGAAAAGATGAAGCTAGGCCTACTGAATTCAGCTTCTTCAATATAAACCAAGTAAACAGTACAGTTCTAGCTACCTTGACTACAAGTACTTTTATCTTGAAAGAGATTAGCATCTTGCTGGTTTTCCACAAAATTCTAAAAGGTCTTTGTTAAAACAGAAAAGTACCAAATCAGCTGAAAAGTCAGCAGGAGCTTGTAGGAGGCAATTAGTGTGCAAAATATTTTCTAATCAGGCAGATAGCCAGAAAACCTGCTTCCTTATGAAAGAGATTGGATCCTGGGGCTCATAATTGAGTCTTTGTACTATTATTTAGATAAAGTGCATTACTATATAATTTATTGTCATGGTGAAGAGCCCTGGTTTGATGCAAGCATTACACAAAGCCAGGATCTAAAAGCCTTAATGTTTGAACAAGTTATAGTGGTCTGGGTCATACTCAATGCTATGTCATGAAACACGAAACCTCCCAGAGTCTTTGGTAGCTGGGTGGGCATACAAATTTTATAAACAAGCACCCATTTGGTTCATACAATATGCTAAGAAACACCAATCAGAACTGTCTGCCAACCTGACCTTGGTATCCTTAAAGTAACCAGCTTGTTTGTAACTTGTATTTGGCTTTTGCTCAAGAAAGTAAAATCAGTCCAGCAATAGAAAAAGACTCATTTCTTTCTAAACTTTGTGAAGAAAGAAAGAAAGGAGGCAATCTAACCTTACGAAAATATGAAAGTCGATTATTCTGGTCCACTTCACTCTTAAAGCTAAGATTTCTTAACCCTGATTTTCTGAAAAAGTTATTCTAGCTTGGCTTCCTATATACAAGTAGTCCTTGACTGACAACCATTTGTTTAGTGACCGTTCAAAGTTACAATGGCACTGAAAAAAGTTGACTTATGAACTTTTTTTCCCACTCTTATGACCACTGCAGCCTCCCCATGGTCATGTAATCAAAATTTGGATGCTTGGCAACTGGCATGCATTTATGACGGTTGCAGTGTCCCAGGGTCACGTGACCGCCATCTGCGAACTTCTAACAAGCAAATTCAATGGGGAAGCCAGATTCATTTAACAACCATGTTACTAACTTAACAACAGCAGTGATTCAGTTAACAACTTTGGTAAGAAAGGTAGTAAAATGGGACAAAACTCACTTAACAACTGAATTGCTTAGCAACAGAAATCTGGGGTTCAATTGTGGTCATAAGTCGAGGGCTACCTGTAATACTAAACTCGTAAGACTGGGGTTTGCACATCACACTGTGTTTACCATAAACAAACAAAGCAGTGGTGTCTGCATTGGATGTGGTGAGAATTTAGTTTTTAAAGAGCTATAAAGACATACGCACAATAAAATATGCTTGCTATATTGCAGTGGTGGCGAACCTATGGCACGGGTGCCAGAGGCGGCACTCAGAGCCCTCTCTGGTGGCACGCGTGCCGTCGCCCCTGTCCTAGGCCTTCAGCTGGGTTTTATAAAACCTTTTTGCTTTAGGCTTCCGCCGCCGTGTGCAAAAAAAAAAAAAAAGGTTCAATCAGTCAATTTCAACTTCTCGCAGGAAAAAAAAAGATCTTGCAAAGTTGGAATTGATTGATTGAACTTTTTAGTCCCACCCAGTCTGCCGTTACCACCACAGCCACGCCCA